TTTTTTAATCCTTAGCATACAACTCAAGGGCAAGAAGGGTAAGGCTGAGAAGGACACACTCACAAAACCAAACAGGGACAAGCACCTACCTCACACCTGCAGGTAGGCTAGGGTGACAGCGCCTGGCTTACCTGAATGAGGAGGGGATGAGTGGGCCACCTGTCAATCGTGCTCCATTTCATCGTAGGCTTCTTCCCCACTCCATTGTAGTATCTGTAAATGGCATTTAAGCTGCTGCCTGAAATATACGGGGGACTACTTAGTAAATGCATTTTCATTATGAGGAAAATAAACACACTAGTAAAGGCAGTAATCATAAGTTCAAAGTAGGTAACTGAACGAGTCTAATTACAATCATTTCAGTACTTTAAAAGGCATATAGATTTAACTATGCTGCAAATGAAGATTACTAAAAAGCAAAATATTTCAACAGACTTTCAAAGATTATTGAGGCCATTTCTAGTAAGAAACACAATGGCCATGGATTTAGTCATTATTTGCAGGGACCAAGTCTTACAACTGAAAGCATGCTATTTTTTTCCCCCGTTATGAAGGTAATCAACCCCATTACAGAAAATGTAGGGGGTGCAAAAGAAAGGAAAAAAGAAATCAGCCATGATCCCACTATGTTAATACAGTCAGTGTTCTATTCTAGCATAGTTCTTTCCAGTTATTTTCGTCTGGAGAATATATGCAATTCTGTATCCTGAACCTCTTGGGCATTTTTTTCTTAATATTATGAGATAAATAGTTTCTGTGTTACTATAAAACCTTTATTTATAACCATCATTTTAAATAGCTTTATGACAAAGGAGAGCAGCTTCTTGAGGTTTCTATAAGCAATATCTGCTTCTACAATATTATCATCATTCCCTAGAATAAGTTAAATGGACACCGAATCCTTACAGGTAACCTAACAAAATTTGTATTTCTAAAAGATGGAGCTCCAAAGGAAAGCAGATGGTGCCAACTCAACACCACTTCTTCCTGGCCAAGGGGAGATGGCCATGGGGCCAAGCCTTAACCCAAAGAAACAATCCTAACACGGGGCCTCTTCTTCAGTCTTAACCTGGGGCAAGTCCTACACCTTTCCTTGCTTCCCATCACCAACCCACTGATTTCTCTAGTATCAGCGAGGTTTCCAATTTTAAACGATAGTCAGGACAGAGCCACATTTTAAATCAAATGTGCTCTTAGGCTAAGACAACCTATAAAATTGGTTCAACGTTGGTGAGTAGAGTACAGTGAATCCAAAGAATCCAAATGGACTCCACTCCAAGCTCAAAAGCAATCTCTTGAGAAACCTCAAAGTAATCACCACCATATTCACATTTCAAGCCAAATTTTATAGGTAAGTATCATTTTTAGAGCATACAAAAGGCCTTTTGGAAGCTACGTGAGTTTTTTGGGGTCACTTGGAAACATTCAATGAACCAGCAGGAAAAGTATTTAAGAAGGGGAAAATATAACTGAAAAAACTGCCCGTGATCAATATACTGTTGTGTGCCATGACCCTATAAGGCAGAGAAGAACTGCCCCATAAGGTTGCCAAGGCTGTAATCTTTACAGAAGCAGACTGCCACATCTTTCTCCCATGGAGTAGCTGGTGAGTTTAAACCACTGACCTTTCAGTTAGCAGCCAAGCCCTTAACCCCTCACTGACACATTAGTGGTTATGTATTATGGCTGCAATAGTGAATGTCTAAAAGGCACACTAGATAAACGTGGCCTAAGTGAATGAATGTGCTTCCCAAAGGCTTTCCCATTCCCGCAGTGAAGATGTACCTGGCCTTATACAGGAGGAATGTGAGACAAGAAGTGAGCAGACACTGAAGTTTTAAACATGGGGTTAGAGGCAGCAGTGAAATGAAACCTGGAGTCAATCCTTTGTCATGTAAATAACCATCTCCTTAACTCATCTAATTTTGAATCAGACTTTTACATATGTATTTTTTAAAGCAAGGCATATGTATAGCTTAAAAATTTGTAAGATCTGATCCATTCTCCAGAAATCTATTACCAGATATTTTGAAGTTGTAGAGGTATATTTCCAAGAGAAATCAGAATTCCAACTCTTGAGGGTGTCTGAGAACTCAGGCATTTTAACAGTTAACTAAGGTTCTGAACAAATATTTAAAGCACACAAGCAGCATCTGATATTTATTCCAGTAGCCTTTTATAACTATAAGGCCTTTTATAATTATAAGGAGGGCCCCCTTATAATTATAAAAATAATATACATTAATATCCAAAGCAATTTGGGTTAAAAATATGTTGATCCCAACCCCTGAAATAGGATACAAGCAATGTATTTGTGGGTGACAGTACAAGCTTTGCCTATAAACAATGACAAAGAGATTGCCAAACATAGATTATTCTCCAGTTCCTGTTAAATAATAGGAAACAGCAAGCAGTAATACTTTCCAAAATCAAGAACATTGAGAGAAGTCTGCAAAGGGAACCCCAAACTGGGCTTCAGTTTAACTAGCAACCAACCCATAACTGAAGCATAACAAAAAAAGACCAATACTTCCAATGTTATACGGGCACTCCTGCTTTCAAAATAGAAAGAGTTGTCGCCTTTTCTTCACTCATCAGAATATTAGGGTAGTGATAAAGATAAGGTTTATCACACAAACCTAGAAAGCTGGCTTAAAGTTCATTACTGATCCATTATATAACCACATTCAAAGCTTGAATGCTCTCAGCCACTGCCTTCCAACCGCCATTTGTAATTCTTGCAGACTGGCCAATAACTCAAGGAACAGATGAACCATGAGATTTTAATAGACTGACCTGAACTCTTGTGTTTAAAGGAGACAGGCCGGATTTACCATTCAAATCTCAGATGATTTACCCTTTCCTTCAGCATTCAGGCTCCCTAGTTATTTTTTCCGGGGCCACATCCATCCCCACATTTTAGAAGTGATTCCCCTTACCTGTGGTGGAGCAGCTGTACTGTGGATACTGTGTGAAGGCAATTGCCCTTTCAAGTCCATCTCTCTCCATCTCTTCAATTGCTTCTTCTGTTAAAGGATGGACGTACCGAAATCCAATATAGTATTTGTGAGGGGCTATTAGGAAGCACGTGTGGAAAGGAGAAAGTATTAACCTTTATATAGATTTCTTGGAGTCACTGAACATAATGCAATGCTCAGAACAAAGAACAGTTAACTGAATTTCCTCCAGTGCTGAAAATGTGGGCAACTGTAGAATATTCCTTGGATCTTATCCAGTCTTCAGCTGGTACATGGACTTTTAATCACTATTTTCTGGGATTAAACTCCCCTTTACTCAGGACAATAGTTTTTGAAACTCAAACTTCCACTCTTTCCTAGGATGAGAAAGAGAATGAAGAGAAGAGAGGAAAGAACAACACTTACTCTAAAGTGTAACCCCCTCCAGTGTAATCCTCCTAGACACATGGCCCTTTTTTTTTTTTTTAATTTAAATCTCATTTTCAAATAAACAAGTGGAGATTCTGTGAGGTTAATTCACCTGCCCAAAGTCACACCCAGTAGTAGATGGTCGAATTATAAGCTGGATCCCCTCATCCCAAAGTCCATGCTCACTCCACACCCCAGCCTGCTCCTGCCATTGAGTCCCCACCCCCTGTTACCTTAGATACCAGGTCACCTGGTTTATATGACCAAATACAATAGCATCATTTCACATATGCAGGATACTCAATAAGAGTGCATTGATAACAAGTGATTAAAACAACTCTCCCCATTTAACATATACAAAACGACAGCCTCTGCAACCTCCCCCATCCTCCTGCATCTTTTTACTACCCTATATTTCAAAAGCATACACAACCACACAATTTCTTTTTTTCCCAGTTGCCATCAAGTCAGTTCTGACTCATGGAAAGCGCATGTCTGTCATAGTAGAATTGTGCACCACAGAGTTTTCAATGGCTGATCTTTCAGAAGTAGATCATCAGGCCTTTCTTCCAAGGTGTCCCTAGGTAGACTCGAACATCCAACCTTTTGATTAGCAAAGAGATGCATCAATGGTTTGCACCATGCAGGGACTCCCTCAATTTCTCAGGAATCTACAAAATCATAAAACCTTGCCATTTCATAGGATTAGACACAAATTATACTAAGGGATGACACTGAGAATACACTACATGAATGTTAATTAATAATAAGAACAAGATAATGTTACTGTCCAAAGCATTAGCAAAGGTGGCAACTAAGAACACGACACTAAACTTCAGTTCAAGTGAAGGAAAAGATAACAGGTGTATCAATATATACAAATGGATGACATTGCGCAATAACTTGACCCAGGGAACCATGAAACAATGGAACATGTTATCAAGGACTGAAGTAGAATATTGTCAGAAGCTTTTACTTGCATGGAATGGATGGTCCCATTCTTCAGTTGGGAACTAAAAGAAAGGAAGGAAGGGGTATAAACGAAATCATTTTTGGCTGTCCATCCTTCTAGGCCATCCATTTTATGCTTTCTTTCCTAAAATGTAGTGGACTGAAGTTACAACAGATCAGAGGGCATGACCCTGTAAGCAAACTCCTAATGACTGATAGTGCAAATATTATGTGGTTCCTGCTAAAACTGCCAACCATAACAATGTCATTAAGTCCATTTTTAAACAACTCCTGGTGATCTGAGCTGAGGTTTAAGTGGAATTTGCTTTCTAATCTATTTTGAGACAATACAATTATCAAACTGACACAGTAAAATCCCCCAACACTGCAGCCAACCAGCTAGCTTCTCCCATGTCTTTTCACCTCCGCAGTATCTGCAAGTTGCAGTCTGGGGTCTGGAGGTTCCTCCAACACTGCCGATCGGGGAGGTGGAGAGGCTGCCCGGGCAGATAAAGGCAGGGTGGGTGACCACCTTCTGAAGTGAGACAGAGCGTTCTGGAAGGAACAGATAATGCTTTCTACACAGTCCAGGTAAAAATGCACTGCACCACGGACTCTGGAAGAAGTTAACAGTATGCTGTCTCTGACTGGGCCTATTCTAAGGAAATAACAAGCTGTGTGTTCACTGAGGATTGGCTGTGCTGTGAGGAGGCGAAGGGGCCTCCGGGGGTCATGAGCACCACATCTGGTGAGAGTAAGCCCAGAACGCAGGACTCACTGGCTCAGCCTGCTCTATCCCCTGAACAGCTACCCAATAAACACTCTTGTCAAGAACCACGAAAAGGAAAAAACAAGCAGAGAAACTGGATTTTTCAACAGTAAAGCTTCATTCATTTGCAGCCCATTAATTTAGCATGTACAGTAGTTCAAATCTGACATACGTGATTCTTTGAAAGGTCTAAAATAAGCAGCATCATGCTTCTGAATTTGTATCAAATCATGAACCCTATGCCAACAATGAATAATAATAAAATCTGTTTATTGAATTTTTACCATGTGCCAAGCAGCATGCTAACCCTCTTGAGGATTAGTTTATTTCATTTTCACAGTGATGCTAGCAGTTGGTTCCTATTATCATGCCAATTTTCGAGATGAGGCTTATTGAGGTCAGTAACCTGACTGAAGTCACACAACCAGGAGTGCGGAAGCCAGGTCCATGCAAACAGAACTCATGCTCTTACCCATTACACCTCCTATGAAGAATAACTGATCTATTTTACTAGTAGCACTTACTTATAGCTTCCTTAAAAGTCACCATCCCAACAAACTGTAATTTTTAAAAATGTATTTTAGGTTTAGACATTTCACTAAATAATTACACTTCTCATCCATTCCCTGTTCTAGTCCCTAAACTACTGTAAAGCAGTGTAACTATATGAAACCAATTCCAAGTCATATTCCTGATATAACTCACTGTATTATTAGGTAACTGGCCAACTCTATGCAAAGCCAGCGGATCTCGAAATTTCCATCCTGGCTACCAAGCAACAACTATTTCCCTAAAAAACAGAGGCATGAAACCTTGATTTCTGCTTATAATCATCACACTTTCTTGACTAAATAGAGCTTTTCCTTATAGAAAGAAATACTTCAAAAATAAACCATAATTTTCTAGGAAAGAACAGATAAGAAGGGAAGAAGAATAAGGAGAAGAAGAGAGAGAAACAGAGAAAGCAGGAAGGAGAGAAAACTAAGTGTGGGGAGAGGGAAGTGACTGACAGCCCCACCCAAAGAGGCACTTGGGTCTTTATCACGGAGCTTCACACCCATGCAGCAAAGCATGAGGAGCAGGACAGGGAATATCCTTCCAGGCAATATGGAGCAAGTCCCTGAGGATCATTCTTGGTGGTATTCTCAGACTTCAGTGCAGAGTTCCCCCAAAGAAATTTCCAAGCCTGAGACTATCATTTATCCTGCCTCCAGCTGTCTGTACAATCACCAGACCTCACACCTCACACACATTCTGTGAAGCACCTCTCCAGTA